AAGGAACTTAAGGAAACTCATAGATCCCTACTTTAAAAAGAATTGCAATTCATTTGCCATAACAGAGTTAGCTAGGCTAAGACAGACCAAAGCATCATAAATGATGATAGAAAAGTTTCTTACAGAGGTTTTTCCACTTCCATTGGATGTTTTGCAACCAGCAAGACACGCCGACACGTAGGTGATTCCATTTTCCCCACATATAGGATCCCATTCATTTTTTGAACATATGCATCCCGAATTGCACTCAGAAAAGAGGGTTTCTTCATAGCTAGAGACCTGTTTCATTCTGACAAAAACCAAAACAAACCTCAGAAACAAAATGAAATGCAGTTTCTCAGCAGCTTTAAGTAGAAATGTCTTCAAACCATGGGCTATATTTTCAGCAAGATGCACCTGAGTGTAGCCTTAAATCTTTAGTCTACTGAAATATTTTATTTCCACTTCCCTTTACAAATGTTTCCTCTCTGCAATCAAACAGTATTCTACAATATGACATGCCTATTAAAATACAGCATATGTTTTATTAAAGGGGCATTGTTAACTATGTGTATCTACTGATATATTGTTTTTATTTTCTAAAATATTCATCTGAAACATCTGGGGCACAATTCAATTAAACAAAATTGGACCCAAATGCTCAGAACATTGGTCACTCTGATGGCAAAGGGGAAAAAATCATCCCTACCGAAAAGCTATTGAAAAAGACGTGAGAAAGTGATCACAGATGGATTGATCTAAATTGAGGACCTGACCCTGCAGTCACTCGATCTACAGACCTTCCTTTGACCTCAATGGGAGCATCACTCATGGAGTGGCTGCAGAAGCAAGCACAGAAAGCCCATCCAGAAAGTCCCTGGGGTCACCTCTGCAGCCGCAAGCCTAAGGAAGCTTGTGCCTGCAGATCTCAGCTGCAATAGTGTGAAAAGTGGGACTGCAACCACTTCCTCGTACTGTGCTGACCCTTTCCATCTTTGTCCCATGAGGGGGCTCTCAGAGGTGGGGAATCAGCAGAGTTTCATGGGAGTGACAACTAGTCAAGTTCAATTGGATTCATCTATCAAAATCTGTTGGGGAAACTGGTATAGATTACTGCAGAGTATGAGATCTTGGCCCCATTGAAGTCAACGGCAAAACTTCCATTTACTTCAGGGGGTCAGGATTTCACTCAGAGTGTCGAGTAACCTGCACTATTTCACCCTCTGCAGTTTAAATCTCCACCTTGAAGGGTTTTCTACAGTGGTCCTGCTAGGGGGAGCCCTACAGCAGGCATGTCCAGAGGGCATTAGAGAGTCCAGGGGTATTCAGCACCACACAGAGGCAAGGAACACCGATACGGATGCCTCTTGGCTTGTTGAGCTCTTCAGCTCTCCAGGGATCTGTGGATTAAAAGGGCTTTTTGTGAGGAGCAGCACAGCTCCACTCCCCAATCAGAGAACTCACAGGAAATGCCATGAATTTCAATTCATCTACACAGGAATAACCTGCATAGAGAAGAATAAGGGCTTGGGCGCTAAAAACAATTACAGAGGGATTCTGGGCTTTGCTCCAAATCCCGCTGAAGTCAATGGAAAGACTTTGGATTCTTTGGATTAGATCCCTGGTGAGTACATTCACGGAATATGTGGAATACTTTGAGGAAGCAGGTTGCTTTAAAATGGAACTTTGCACTCAACGTTGCACTTTCCAACATACCCTTCATAAGACACAGTCAGTCCTGCCACGTCTGAGTTCTCACAGCCCATTGCAAATAATGAAAGTAGCAAGAGGTAACCAAAGAAGGATGATCCCAAGGATAGCTTTGCAGCCCCCAAAACATTAATCCGGAATTTTTTCATGATCAGTCCTCCTGAGAATATCCCAAAGGCCACAGCAGGAATGTTGATAAGACCTACAAACAAATGAGAAAAATTAGTATATACGTAAGCTTGAACTAGGAGGACTGCTATGCCCAGCCATATTTGCTAAGGGAGCCCACAAAATGAACATTTGGCAACTGTCTGAATGACAACCCCCCCATCTACAGCTGCAACTTTAACATTAAAATTTTACGGCATCAGCTAGTCACTGCTGATCATTTTCTTGCAAAGTGATTCATTTATGGTGCAAGATCATCATGCCAAATGGACTGCAATACAGACTGTTAAATCAGTGTTTCAGTAGGCTTTTACATTCCATTTGATGTAAAGTGCTAGATGGCTACTAGTTATTATTATTATATTTCTGTTTCTGTAATGGGCCTCAGTCCATGCTAAACTTTGTATAATGTAAAACAGGATAAATTGTAAAATTCATAACAGGATGTTAGAAGACACCTTAACAGATACTCTCACCCATGAGTAACTAAATATACTATAGAAACATTTCACTGTGATGACCATGCTTATTTTGGACTGCCTAACTTATAAGCGAAAAAATCCAGTATCTTATTCTGTATGGCAGATCAGAGATTTCTGTAATAGGAACCCAACAGTGTGACAAAAGGAGGTGTGGTTAAATGGATACTCTAGATTCATAGAGTCTAAGGCCAGAAGGGACCATTATGATCATTGACACTGACCTCCGGTATGACCCAGGCCATAGAGCTTCCCCAAAGTAATTCCAATCTTAATTAAAAAATTGTATGTAATGGAGAATCCACCATGAATTTTTCTAAACTGTTCCCATGGTTAATTACTCTCATTGTTAAAAATTATACCTTATTTCCAGTCTGAATTTGTCTAGCTTCAACCTCCAGCCATTGGCTCGTGTTATACCTGCCTCTGCTGGATTGAAGAGCTCATCATTAAATATTTGTTCCCCACGTAGGTATTTATAGACTGTAATCAAGGCACTCCTTATACTTCTCTTTGTTAAACTAAATAGATTGAGTCTACCACTATAAGGCGTGTTTTCTAATCCTTTAATCAGTCTCCTGTATTTTCTCTGAACCCTCTCCAATTTGTCAACATCCTTCTTGAATTGTGGGCAGAACCAGAACTACTATTCCAGCAGAAGTTGCACCAGTGCCAAATACAGAGGTAAAATAACCACAATTCGATGGTATTGGCCTCCGGGAGCTATCCCACAGTGCTTCATTGTGACCGCTCTGGACAGCACTCTCAACTCAGATGCACTGACCAGGTAGACAGGAAAAGCCTTGCGAACTTTTGAATTTCATTTCCTGTTTGCCCAGCATGGAGGGCACAGGTGACCACGCAGAGCTCATCAGCACAGGTAACCATGATGGATTCCCAGGATCGCAAAAGAGCTCCAGCATGGACAGAACGGGAGGTACGGGATCTGCTCGCCATATGGGGAGATGAATCAGTGCTAGCTGAACTCCGTAGCAGTAAATGAAATGGCAAAATATTAGAAAAAGTCTCAAAGGCCATAACAGGGATGCACAGCAGTGCCGTGTGAAAATTAAGGAGCTAAGGCAAGCCTACCACAAAGCCAGAGAGGCAAACGGAAGGTCCGGGGCACAGCCGCAAACATGCCGCTTCTACGCGGAGCTGCATGCCATGCTAGGGGGTGCAGCCACCACTACCCCAACCGTGTGCTTTGACTCCATCAATGGAGAATCACGCAACAGGGAAGTGGGTTCGGGGTACGAGGAAGATGATGATGAAGACAATGAAGATAGCTCACAGCAAGGAAGCGGAGAAACCGGTTTCCCCAACAGCCAGGATATGTTTATCACCCTGGACCTGGAACCAGTAACCCTCGAACTCACCCAAGGCGTGCTCCCAGACCCTAAGGGCACACAAGGGACCTCTGGTGAGTGTATCTTTGTAAATATTACACATGGTTTAAAAGCAAGTGTGTTTAATGATGAATGATTAATTTGCCCTGGCAATCACGGCCAGTACAGCTACTGGAAAAGTCTGTTAACGTGTATGGGGATGGAGCGGAAATCCTCCAGGGACATCTCTAGAAAGCTCTCCTTCATGTACTCCCAAAGCCTTTGCAAAAGGTTTCTGGGGAGGGCTGCCTTATCCCATCCGCCATGGTAGGACACTTTACCACGCCAGGCCAGTAGCACGTAGTCTGGAATCATTGCATAACAAAGCACGGCAGCGTATGGTCCCGGTGTTTGCTGGCATGCAGACAACATCCATTCCTTATCTCCCTTTGTTATCCTCAGGAGAGTGATATCATTCACGGTCACCTGGTTGAAATGGGGTGATTTTATTAAGGGGACATTCAGAGGTGCCCGTTCCTGCTCTGCTGAACAGAAATGTTCCCCGCTGTTAGCCACGCGGTAGGGGGGAGGGGTGAAGTGATCATCCCAGAGAATTGGGTGTGTGAGGGGGTAGTTGGGGAATGTGCTGCATGTTAACCTGGAAACCCGCAGCCCCTCCTTTTACATTGCAAACCCATTTTAAATGGCCAACCCAACGGGTGCTTGGTATGGGAAATGAGGGCGCTACTCTTTGAAACTGTTCCCACATGTTAAGAAGGTTAAAAAAGCCAAAAGACTGTGGCTTACCATGGCTGCCTGCAAGCCGAAATCTGTTGCCTGGCACTGCATGAGTGATCTCTCACACCAAACCAGCAGGCCCTCAACATAAGAGGAAAAATGCGACCTTGTAATGAAAGCTCATGTGCTGTGTAATGTGAACAGCAAAATTTAACGTGAAAGAGTGTACCCATTGTTCTCTAAAATGTGTCTTTTTTAACCACCTCTCCCTTCTCCTCCACCAGCTGCAAATGTTTCTCCTTCACAGAGGCTAGTGAAGATTAGAAGGAGAAAACGGCGGACTCGGGATGATATGTTCTCGGAGCTCCAGATGTCCTCCCACGCTGACAGAGCACAGCAGAATGCGTGGAGGCAGTCAATGTGAGAGTGCAAAAAAGCACAATATGAACAAGAGGAGAGGTGGCAGGCTGAATTGCGGGCTGACGAGAGCAAGTGGCGGGCTGAAGAGGATAGGTGGCATCAGCTGGCTGACAGAAGGCAAGAGTCGATGCTCCGGCTGCTGGAGCATCAAACTGATATGCTCCAGCGTATGGTTGAGCTGCAGGAAAGGCAGCAGGAGCAGAGACCGCCGCTACAGCCCCTGTGTAACCAACAGCCCTCCTCCCCAAGTTCCATAGCCTCCTCCCCCAGACGCCCAAGAACGCGGTGGGGGGGCCTCCAGCCATCCAGTCACTCCACCCCTGATGATTGCCCGAGCATCAGAAGGCTGGCCTTCAATAAGTGTTAAAGTTTTAAAGATTTAAACTGTAGTGTGTCCTTTTCCTTCCCTCCTCCCCTACCCCTCCCGGGCTACCTTGGGAGTTATCCCCCTAGTTGTGTGATGAATTAATAAAGAATGCATGAATGTGAAGTAACAATGACTTTATTGCCTTTGCAAGCGGTGCTCGAAGGGGGGAGGGGAGGGTGGTTAGTTTACAGGGAAGTAGAGTGAACTGGGGTGGGGCGGAGGGTTCATCAAGGAGAAACAAACAGAAGTTTCACACCGTAGCCTGGCCAGTCACAAAACTGGTTTTCAAAGCTTCTCTGATGCGCACCGTGCCCTGCTGTACTCTTCTAACCGCCCTGGTGTCTGGCTGCGCGTAATCAGCGGCCAGGCGATTTGTCTCAACCTACCACCCCGCCATAAATGTCTCCCCCTTACTCTCACAGATATTGTGGAGCGCACAGCAAGCAGCAATAACAATTGGAATATTGGCTTCGCTGAGGTCTATCCGAGTCAGTAAACTGTGCCAGCGCGCTTTTAAACGTCCAAATGCACATTCCACCACCATTCGGCACTTGCTCAGCCTATAGTTGAACAGGTCCTGACTACTGTCCAGGCTGCCTCTGTACGGCTTCATGAGCCATGGCATTAAGGGGTAGGCTGGGTCCCCAAGGATAACGATAGGCATTTCAACATCCCCAATGGTTATTTTCTGGTCCGGGAAGAAAGTCCCTTCCTCCAGCTTTCGAAACAGACCAGAGTTCCTGAAGACGTGAGCATCATGTACCTTTCCCGGCTATCCCACGTTGATGTTAGTGAAACGTCCCTTGTGATCCACCAGGGCTTGCAGCAGCATTGAAAAGTACCCCTTGCGGTTTATGTACTTGGTGGCTTGGTGCTCCGGTGACAAGATAGGGATAGGGGTTCCGTCTATCGCCCCACCACAGTTTGGGAATCCCATTGCAGCAAAGCCATCCACTATGACCTGCACATTTCCCAGAGTCACTACCCTTGATATCAGCAGGTCTTTGATTGCGTTGGCTACTTGGATCACAGCAGCCCCCACAGTAGATTTGCCCACTCCAAATTGATTCCCGACTGACCGGTAGCTGTCTGGCATTGCAAGCTTCCACAGGGCTATTGCCACTCGCTTCTCAACTGTGAGGGCTGCTCTCATCCTGGTATTCTGGCACTTCAGGGCAGGGGAAAGCAAGTCACAAAGTTCCATGAAAGTGCCCTTACGCATGCGAAAGTTTCGCAGCCACTGGGAATCGTCCCACACCTGCAACACGATGCGGTCCCACCAGTCTGTGCTTGTTTCCCGGGCCCAGAATCGGCATTCCACAGCATGAACCTGCCCCAGTAACACCATGATTTGCACATTGCTGGGGCCTGTACTTTGTGAGAGGTCTATGTCCATGTCAATTTCCTCATCACTCTCATCGCCACGCTGCAATCGCCTCCTCGCCTGGTTTTGCTTTGGCATGTTCTGGCTCTGCATATACTCCAGGACAATGCGCGTGGTGTTCATAGTGCTCATAATTTCTGCGGTGATCTGAGCGGGCTCCATGATCCCAGTGCTATGGCGTCTGGGCTGAAAAAAGGCGTGAAACTATTGTCTGACGGAGGGAGGGAGGGAGAGGCGAGTGACGACATGGCTTACAAGGAATTAAAATCAACAAAGGTGGCTGTGCATCAGGGAGAAACACAAACAACTGTCACACAG